TGTAAGGGGGAAGGGGGAGGAAGGGGGAGCAAGGGGGAGGAAGGGGCAGGAAGGGGCAAAAAGGGGGAGGAAGGGGGGGAAATTCACGAAAACAGATTTAGGCATTTTGGTTGATGCCATTTTCGGGGGTCAACCTAAGGAGGGCCCTCCATCTTGCGGCGTGTCTATATATATATATATATATATGCGAAAAGCAGCGACCCCGTTTTGGTCCGCTAAGGGACCTACAAGTCGAAATTGGAAGGGTCCGCCGCAAGTCAAAGTCCCTTTGAGTTGGGCCTGTGTCTGAAAATAAGCATGGCACAGCCCCCGAAAGAGTTAGCTTCCTGTTGGTGTCCCTTTGAAACCCCGAAAAAGGGCACTGGTTGCCCCCGCTGTTTGAGCTGTTTGAACAATCTCCATTTGGTTCCCTTTGAAAGGAGGCCAGGGTCTAGTTGTATAGACCATCTGCCCAACCCTCAACACACATCCATACTGTACTATATCGACAACACTCCACTTTGCAGTTGGAAGGTGTTGTGTATCCAAGTTGTAGGGCACCATCCATGCCAACTGATTAATTGTAGTTCGGACGGAAATCTGTTGAAGGCTGTGCCCTGTCCTCCCTCAGCAGCCACTGGCCCCGCTGGATGCGCGGGGACCGGGGGGCCTAGGCAAGCAGGACTGGAGAAACCAGTGACTAAGGCAACTTAAGGCCAAACTAGGGCGAACTTAGTGATTCGTTTACCTTAAGTTGACACAGTTCACCCCTAAAATGACTTAAGGACTGAGGTAAACTTGGTGTTTCGTTGACGCTTTGCTGGTCAAACTAGTGGGACAGGTCATAAACCTCTTGCTCGGAACCGCTCGCCAAAACACATGACGTCGCAAAAAGCGCCCCGGGATGAGCGACCGATGCCACTTCACTTCCCTCTGAACAGGTACCGTTTAAAGACACACCCACAAGACGCAAACAGTAGAGCAGGGTGTTGATATACATGGGCATGAAGAATGAATTAGGAACCGTCAAAACGGCAAGATTGCTGGAAAAGGGTTGAACAAAAAGAACGTGGTGAGTGCCACTGGGCGGCTTGGCTGGCGCTGATCCAGGAAAGCACACAAGACCTTGGCTGGACGTCACCAACGGGCCCAACATGCGTTGGCTCGCGCAAGCCTTCGGCCTGTTCCCACCTGCCCCCAGCACAGTGAGAACAGACTAGGATTTGACTAAGCAAAAGGCGTGGCAAAACCAGGCACTCTTTCTGTTTGGCTCACGAGGGGTGACCATCCCTGTGAACCCCAGGTGAAGGAACCGGTCTTTTGACCGCATGAAGCTCAGGAGCCATAGGCACCACCCCAGGACGCAGAACAATGGCGGGACCAGCAATGGCCCCAAGACCATCGCTGCCATGGAGTACACGAAGGTCTCATCCTCGCCCTCGCAGTTGTGGCTGAAGACCATTGAAGAGGATGAGACACAAACCAGGTAGCCTACGACATGGGTTTTGCGCAAAATAGCGGAGCCAATTGACGAAATGAGTGGTCCTTACTGTCCTTTTAAACAGCCCCAAAAAGGGGCTGTTTAAAGCCTCCAAAAAGACACACCCAAAATTACTCCAAGTTCCAAATCGAGAAATAATGCCAAACACTCATCAAAACCCGGTGACGTTTTTCATTGAGCTAAACAAGGGAACCACACGCAGAAAATCGCTTGCCACTGGCCAACTGGGGAGCCCATCAAAACCACGCAGCACACCAGGGCTGGCAGCAGCCCGACATCCGCGTTGTGGCAATTCCTGGCCGCCAGCAGCATGCAGCACCACATTAGGATCATGAGCGCGGCAATGCCTGGAAGGGGTCTGCTGCTCAAATCCGTCGGGCCCCTCTTTGAAAGCTCTTCAACCGACTTAACTTGTTTGCGTGGGTGAAACGATGGTTTGGTCAGCCCGCTTTGCTTCAGATAAAGAACCAAGATGGGGCGCCAAACCCAGGGTACGAGCCGAAAACCGCGCCTGGAAAGGTGGACATCCATAGCACCTGCACACCTAGCCAAAGGATGGGGTAATGACAAGTTGCGGACTTGGTGGGACTTGAGCAAAGAAATCAAAGACTTGCCAACACTAGAATACACAAGCACATCAGCACATCCAGCAATAAACAAGCTCAATCCCGACACCAACTTTGAAACACCCAAGATGCAAACACAAACTCATGCAGTGAGAGAGTATAGCCCAACTTGGACGAAGCAAACAAACGCACAAACATAAAGAACAATCACAATACCAGGCTAAGCAAAAAAACAAGAAATCAAGACAAACAACTGCAGCCAAGCTCGAAACAACCCAACACAACGCACATGTGGAGAACAACTTTGAAACTGCTGAACATCAAGCAATCCCAAAGAAAAAAGGACGACGACTCAACCGCAGCAAAAAAGAAAAAAGAAAAGAGGCAAGCTCCAAAAATCCGGCTGGGGGCTTGCGGTTTTGTTCCATCGAGGCACAGGAGGCATCTGCTTGCGGCTGTGCCCAGGTGAAGGGCAGGGACAACCAGAGGCCACCGGCGATCGCGGCCAAGAGAAGCACCGCGGAGATGATGCTCTCCACGGAGTCGTTGACGTCCACCATAGCTCAAGCGAAGGCTTGGGTCTGCGCTTGAGGATACCGTAGCAGTTGCTTTTTCAGGACGAACAAGGAAAACAAAAGGAACACCCTACTACTTTGGGGGGATAGGCGCAAAATGAGAAGCCCGATGAAACTTGTTGGAAAACCTCCTCACACATGTTTGGTGGACATACATCCATACATGAATGCTGTCCACCAACTCGGGTCCCGAATTCGCCCTCGAGTCTTTGGGTGCCAAAGGAGCTGAGGTGCCCAAAAAACAGTTGCAACAATAACAGCTTATGGAGGCAACAAAACAAAAGGAAACAGAACTTGGGAGATTGGGTTGCCAAACGCCGGCTTGCTTTGGGAGTCGGAAGTCCGTGTCCGTTGGCTCCCGGGGTTCTAGGCCAGGGCAAAAGTCTCATGTGTCGAAGAGCATCCGATCTGTGCTGCTGGGAGCAACTTCATAGGAAAAACAAAGGCACCATCTGCTGGGTGGGCTGAGATGAGTGCACAATGCATCTGTCGGCACTCGGCGCTGCATCATCGTTGTGTGCGTGTGCTGTTGCATGGAACCAAATCTGCGAAGCAACCGCGAATCGTGACATCTGAAGCAACTGGCCTCCCTCAATAGATGCATGCAACCTCGCAAGCTTGGCTCATGGAGAGACAATGAAAGAAAGGCTCCAAAACACAATGACCCTGGTAGCAAAGCACAAGCCCAAAAGCAAAAAACGATGAAACATTCAAGCCACGGGTCAACATTTGAAGCAATGACAAAGTTTACGCCAATGTTTACAAAAAAGAACAATAATAATATTAAAAAAAAACACAACAACTGACTTCGCCCTCACACAACGACTCAATGATGCAAATCAACCAATGATTCAATGAACAAATAAAACAATGAATCCATGAATCAAGACTACATGCATCAACAAATCAAACATAAATGAATGATTGAACCAATAAGTGCATGAATCAATAAGTGAACCAAATGAACAAGCAAATGGGAAAATAAGAGAATAAGCGAATGAGTGAGTCAGTGAGTGAGTGAGTGAGTGAGTGAGTGAGTGAGTGAGTGAGTGAGTGAGTGAGTGAGTGAGTGAGTGAGTGAGTGAGGGAATGAACGAACTAACAAATAAATCAGCGAATCAACAAATCAATGAATCAAATACTCAATCAAACAATGAATCAATGCATCAAGTAATCAATTAAGCAATGAGTTAACGAAACAATGAATCAATGAAGCAATGCATCAGTGAAGCAATGCATCAGTGAAGCAATGAAGCAATGAATCAATGACTGACTGAATGAATGAGTGAGTGAGTGAATGAATGAATGAATGAATGAATGAATGAATGAATGAATGAATGAATGAATGAATGAATGAATGAATGAATGAATTAATTAATGAATGAATGAATGAATGGATGGATGGATGGATGAATGAATTAATGAATGAATGAATGAATTAATGAATGACTGAATGAATGAATGAACGAACAAATGAATGAATGAATGAATGAATGAATGAATGAATGAATGAATGAATGAATGAATGAATGAATGAATGAATGAATGAATCAATGAGTCAATGAATGCATGCATGCATGAATCAATGCATGCATGCACGCACGCACGCACGCACGCACGCACGGACGGATGGATGGATGGATGAATGAATGAATGAGTGAGTGAGTGAGTGAATGAATGAATGAATGAATGAATGAATGAATGAATGAATGAATGAATGAATGAATGAATGAATGAACCAACCAATAAATAAACTACTCTGTGAGCCAGTCAGTCAGGGAGGCAGGCGCTCAGGCACTCAGGCACTCAGGCACTCAGGCACTCAGGCTGTCAGGCAGTCAGGCAGTCAGGCAGTCAGGCAGTCAGGCAGTCAGGCAGTCAGGCAGTCAGGCAGTCAGGCAGTCAGGCAGTCAGGCAGTCAGGCAGTCCAAATCAATCATATGAACAAATTAATGAACCAATAAACACATTTCTGAATAAGACAAACAGTATAGAAAGAAATGAGTTAGTAAATCAATCGGGAGTCAATAAATCATTCAATCAAGTAATTGATCAATGAATCGATACAATCCCATTCTGCCAATCCAGTGCGGTCCAGTCCCATCCAATCTGCTCCAAACCCAATCCGTGTCAAACAACGAATTAAACAATAATTGATATCTATTCGGCTTCAAGATCAACATGAAGTGCATCAAGATTTGGTTATCACAGTTATGTAGAGACTCTAAACAAATATTAATAACAACCGAAACACAAAATAAAGCACCTCAAACTTAGTCAGCCAAGCAAGGCCCCCCCTCCCACCTGAAGAGGGTTCCTACGCGTAACTGCGGGGGCCTTTGTTTCCCCTCAGGGGGCGAGCGCTTTCCTGATCCTTGCCTGCAGAGGGTGCAGAACTGCCGGCTTGCCGCCGCCTCAGGGAGGGAGGGAGGGAGGGAGGGGAGGGGAGGGGAGGGGAGGAAAGGGAAGGGAAGGGAAGGGAAGGGGAGGGGAGGGGAGGGAAGGAAAGGAAAGGAAAGGAAAGGAAAGGAAGGAAAGGAAGGAAAGGAAGGAAAGGAAAGGAAGGAAAGGAAGGAAAGGAAAGGAAGGAAAGGAAGGAAAGGAAAGGAAGGAAAGGAAGGAAAGGAAAGGAAGGAAAGGAAGGAAAGGAAGGAAAGGAAGGAAAGGAAGGAAAGGAAGGAAAAAGGAAGGAAAGGAAGGAAAAAGGAAGGAAAAAGGAAGGAAAGGAAGGAAAGGGAGGGAGGGAAGAAGAGAAGCAGGAAATTGTAGTGTGAGTCTGGGCGAGCGGTGGTCTGGAAGTATTTTGTTCCGGGTATTTTGGGTATCCTTCGGGGTATCGTTCAGACCGCCTTCCAAGACTAGCAAATTCCGCCCAGTTCCCTTAGCCCAAGCAATGCGCAAGAAACGACTACGCACGCAGTGCGTGCGTGCGCCTCGCAACATGCGCTGCTGCCCGGCGACTTGGTAGTTGGCGTTGCTGTTCTGGCATTCGCACCCACCACCCAGCACGCGCAGTTCGTTTGCCACGCTTGCACGGAACCACAAGGAGAGCGCGCGTCTCAAACAGCAATCACCACGCCTCCAATCTTGGAGCACCCTGCGCAAACAAAATGCACCATCGTTGTGGGAGCAATTTGTGCGCTGCGCAATTGGTCGTGCAATTGGTCAGGAAGCTAGCAAGAAGGGTAACCACTGCCATCGAGCATGAGGCCAAAGGCTTGGCTTTGAACGCGGGAAGCGGCCAAACGCTGGCCAAGGCCAGAAAAGCGGGCCGAGTCAGCAGGCGCGCCCCAGTCGCCTGTGTAAAGCAAGCGCCTGTCTCAAACGAAGTGTCGGAGCTCCCGATCCGATTCCCATGGGCGCTAGCATTCTTCCAAAGAGATAGTTGCAACCCCAGACATCGTATTACATAGACAAAAAGCACGTGAGTATAAGCATAACTGCGTCCAAGGGTATCTTTTTTTGAGAGTCCCATCGTTTGCCATGGTGTTGTGCATGTCCACAACATCAACAAAACGCCGAATACTAAAGTCAACAGAAGTAGATTGGCCAGATTTTCATTTCAACGTGATTGAAAGGGAAACCCGGCCCCGGGGAAACGGTCTATGCTTTGGAGGGGCTATAAAGACATAAGGTAGGCATGGAAGTTAGGAAACGTGCTCCGTAAACTGTCCCAGGCTTAGCTTGTTTGCTCTTTGCAATCGATCACTCCGTTAAAAAGACCCGCCACTGCAACAAAACGGCATCCATGTTCTTTCGTCCAACAGGGACCTCTCAGCTGAGCGTAGATCCGTCTCAGGACCAAGCAATGGGTCTGCACCAAATGTGCAGCCCCCACTACCGTTAGGACTTTAGGAGCAGTCGCAAAGGATCACTTAAGCAGAGTTCATCCAGTTCCCACAATGGAAACGAGACAGGAAGGGCGGTACAACTCTTTGCGCTTCTCAAGATGCCAACTCATTGGCCAGGTTTTCGGATCACTGGCTTCGTCTTTTACCCCCAACAACTCATGTGCTTCATCGTTGGCGGGTTGGTGGGGGAATTGCCAGTCGCCAAAAGGTTTAACGCCCGCATTGGCCGAAGGGGTGTCCGAAAGCTTAACAGGCTGTAAAGGGTATGTGTCAAATAGGAACCCAAACAAACAACTAAAATAAATAACAAACATAGGGAAGTGTTTGATTCCCTTCAACCCAACGTGTAAAGGGTGATAAATAAAAAAAGACGCACACGCACACAGACACAGACACCGACAGACACACACAGACACACACACAGACACACACAGACACACACAGACACACACACACAGACACACACAGACACACACAGACACACACAGACACACACACACAGACACACACAGACACACACACACACACACAGACACACACACAGAGACACACAGACACACAGACACCTGACACACACAGACACACACAGACACACACAGACACACACAGACACACACAGACACACACAGACACACACAGACACACACAGACACACACAGACACACACAGACACACACAGACACACACAGACACACACACACACAGACACACACACAGAGACACACACAGAGACACACAGACACACACAGACACACAGACAGACACACACACAGAGACACACAGACACACACAGACACACACAGACACACACAGACACACAGACACACAGACACACAGACACACAGACACACAGACACACAGACGCACAGACACACAGACACTCAGACACTCAGACACGCAGACACACAGACACACAGACACACAGACACGCAGACACACAGACAACAGACAGACAGACACACAGACACACAGACACACAGACACCCAGACACACAGAAACACAGACACACAGACACACAGAGACACAGACACACAGACACGCAGACACACAGACAACAGACAGACAGACACACAGACACACAGACACACAGACACCCAGACACACAGACACACAGACACACAGACACACAGAGACACAGACACACAGACACAGACACACACACACAGACACAGACACACACACACACACAGACACACACACAGACACACAGACACAAACAAACACAAACACAAAGACAAAGACAAAGACAAAGACAAAGACACACACACACAAACACAAACACAAACACAACCACAAAAACAAACACAAACAGAAACACAGACACACAAACACAAACACAAACAGAAACACAGACACACAAACACACGAACACACGAACACACAAACACACAGACACACAGAGACACACAGACACACAGACACACAGACACACAGACACACAAACACACACAAACACACACATACACAAATATTTATTGAAACACAAACCAAACTCAGCAGTCTTTCCACATCGAGGCACGCTCCGTGCACCAGTGCGGCATGCCGCCGGCCCCAGTGATGCGGAACACGGAGCCGAAGAAGAAGGTGGCGGCCTTTCCCCCGGACCAGGGCTCCCGTTTTTTGGGGAAAAACTCGGGCCAAGTGGCCGTGGCTCAAAAAAACAGAAAGTACCCAAACTGGCACCTTGGCACCTTGGCACCTTGGCAAGGCAAATGGAAAGAAAGACAAGAACTGGCGGTTCGCCCCTGGTAGGTTTGGAGCCACAAGTACCCCAACTAACGAACCTCGAGTTGAGCCTCCAGAAGTGGCCACATGTTCAGATGAGTTTCATATCGTTTTCAAAACGATCTGTGTTAAAATGGTCGATCCCCAGATCCATGTAAATAATTTTCAGCAGGCGGCGAAGGCAGCCATTTATGGATGGAATTATCCCTTATCTTGATCGACCCGGGTTTCATTGTGGCCCAACTGAGGATCCGGATAAGTTGATCCCAAGGTGGACTTTGTTGTCTGGTTATTCGAAAGGGATTTGGTTAAAGGGTTGGTAAGGGAAACCAAACGGAAAGCCACCTGTTTGGGTCCCCATACGCTTTCTGAAAATACCAATTTACAGCTGTTGGTTCCCTGCGAGACATGCGATGGGCATTGTTCCCGCAACCAATTTTGAGACGAGTCAGCCATTCAAAGAGAAACTAAGCCAAGGGAACGCTTTAACCCTGCTGATGGGTCTCCAAAGACTCCGCAAACCGCACCTGGGATGGATGAAACCCATGAATATTCAGATAAAGCAGGGGATTTGTATACCTCTAGCGGAACCCTCTGTCAGAAGCCATGCTAGTGGGGGGCGGATATTTGGGGGTGTCTTTGCCAAGGGTACTCATTTGAGGGTTGTTTTAAGGGAAGCCAAACAGCTTTCTTAAGAGATGAAGTCTGACAGCAAAAGTGTCTGCGTGGAAAAGGTTCAAAACCATGCATTTGCACACAGGTGCCGCGATGCGAAAATGCTATCTCGGGAAAGTTCTGCAGCTTAATGTAACCCTTAAGGAACCTGGCAGGCTGTGAGGCCGTGCCAAATCTTGCAGGTCTGTTTCTCATAGAGCGGAGGATTCTTGGTTTGCACAAAGTTCCCGAGTCAGCTGGTGAACAGTGCAAATCTGTCCCCGCCAAAGTGTGCCCTCCCTATCACCATTTCAGCACCAGAAGTCCATCAGTGTCTTGTTCATTTTCATGATTGTTTGTGAGCGCACAGTGTTGCAATGGGTAAATGAGTTTGCCCGCATGACAAGGCCCAGACCCGACACCCAAAACCCAAAATGGTTTAATTTCGGTGCACCAAAGGGTCGTGTCCATGCTCAGCTTCTGGCTGTGGAGGAGAGCGCCACAACCTGAGAAACAAACGACGTCGGCGCCCAAAGGCTGGGAACAAAAGGAAACAAGGGTTGCTTTCTATACATATATATATATGTATATTGTATCTGTTGTGAGAGTACCCCATTTTTGGTGGGTGGTCAAGGGAAACCACAAGTAATTAAAGCCACCCACATATACATATATACCAGCAGGACCCATTGATACACAAATGCTTGCTCGAGCTTTCCTGGCAAACAAATGCCCACACATGCAAACACACGGATTGCGGGGCAGATCTTTTGCTTTGTACACTTGTTGGAGGTGCGCCCGAGTTGCGGAAAATGGTGCCCAAGAAGCGGGAAAGTGCGCTCGAGTTGCGGGTTCGTTTCTCTCGAGCACTTCACCAAAGCAGCTAGGCAACCTCAAAAAGTGCTCGAATTGGATTGGAGCAGACAAAAGCGCTCGAATGCCAAAAACTGTCCGGAGCACTTTTTTGTGCATCAAAGGGTTCTCCAGGTGTATATATATATACCCAATGCAACCCAATGGTTTCATATAAACCGGATGCGCGATACTCTTCTCATTGGGATCAGGCTGAATAATGGCCTCGTGCCTGAGAGCATAGGATTTCCTGAGGGTTCCAGCCACACGAACTGCACGCAAAGCAGAAGATGCTACACGGCAAGAAAGCTGCAAATCAGCGCGCGGCATGCCATCCCTCTTATCCACTTGCAACCCCTTTGACTTAACACCATGCAAGAAGAGTCTCCAAAACTTGCAAAAGTATGGCTCTTGCCAGATGACTCAGAATGAGGCTCACCAGGCTATCGTCATACTCTGCATGTCATGGATTCTTCGCTTTGACCAAGCCTGGAAGAGTTGATCCGCTTAAATCACTGCTTTCGAAACTCAATGTGAAAAGGAGTGGTTCCCATTGACACCAAGCAACCAGGCAAATCTGACCCACTGAGAAACACAACCAAGCCCACTGTGAGTAAGCCCCTCAAAAGGTGTTTCTTAGCCAAAGGGTAGGTGCCGCCCGACCAAAAAAGGCGTAAAGTACCAGGGCCGCAGGCGTTGAAGGGCATGCTGAAGTCAGGCCTGCAAGCCGTCAGGCCCAAGCTCCAAACTTGGGCTTGGGAGATGCTTGCGCCCATGTAAAGAAACATCGGGACAACTTGGTACAAACTAACAGAACAGTCACACCAGCACGCAAAAAAAACATTCAGAAAACATCCACAAGCGCAAGAAACAAGAAGATGCACTTACGCAGGAGCTGCGTGCACTCGCACACACGCAAGCACACGCACACATTCACACATCACACACACACACTCATCAACACCGCACGCACAAAAAACAACAAACAGACAGACAGACAGACAGACAACAAACAAACACACACACACGCACACAAACGAACACAAACACAAACACTCTCACACACACACACAAACACACAAACACACAAACACACAAACACATAAACACACA